AAATATGCTTTGACAACTTGGGTTAGGTTATGATGATAATGACATAATCTAATGGTGGTGACATAATCTAATAGTGGTAATATAATCTAATGATGGTGATAAAATCTAATGGTGATAATATAATCTAATAGTAGTGATATGATTTAATATCATAATCTAGTGGTGACATCATAACCTGATCCATAATCTGATGTGACAATATAATCTATAAGTGGTTTCATAATATATAGTTTGGTTATCTTTATGATTTTTTAACTACTATTTTAATTGATTCCTACTATATAGAGTTATGGTGTATTGGTAGTGTCACATTCTATTGGTGTGGTTATTATATGATTTAATGGTGGTGTTATAATCTGATAGAGTATATTTTCCTAATTATCTACGACCTTTCTTTTATCAAGGAACTTTTCATATGTTTACATTACTCTGTATTCTTTTATTCCTAAAGAGCTATCCATTTGTTTACTTGCTTCTGTGCTTGTTTGGTGGCCTGTTAAGATATTGAGGATGCTTCTTTTTGCGCTTGCTTGATTGCCTTTTAAAATACTAAAATAGTGTAAAAAAAAAGGTGACAGGTGGCACAGTATATTTGCGATTAATTTTGCTGGCTCTATGGTATAACTCTAATCGATCTTTTGGATATGTGATTTGAGGATCCAATTTGGTGTTATAATAGTGCTATGATAGTGTCCTAGTAGTGTTATAGAACTCTCCTGGAATTGTTATAGAACTGGAGGGGAGCTAGAGAGATGCTAGCTCAGATGTCAAATTATTACGCTTAAAGTTCCAGCTGAAATTATGGAATAGTGTTGATCGATATTAAGTGAATAAGTCTTATGCGAAGACTATACCGTAGCTGAACACATATTTAGAAAGATAGAGCCTTCTTCCAATTATATATATATATATTACGAAGAAGGCTTCATTTTCAAATACATATCTACTTTTATAGGAGGACTTTCACGTGATTGGCCGATCATATTCAATTGAATTTATATAGTTTAAAATACTTTTTTAAGATTTCGATAATCTACTTAATAAAAAGAATTTTATTTTATTTTTAGTTCCAAAATAGCTTTAAAACTTACTGTGTAAAAGAATCAAAAAAGAATCAAAAAACCAGAAAACTTTACTTAAAAGACAAAATATGATTATTACTGGATCATGTATAATTACTATATGTAAAGGATAGTCAACTAATTGGAAAAGGGTAACTGAATTTGTTATTACCAAGGGACAAACTAACAATACTTTGCCAAATTATGTTCATTTAAGTGATATGATATGCTTAAACTGTTATAATGAAATCGTGACAAGGAGTTCCGCTGAATTCAAACAACATGCTCAAGCTAATATAAGACAACCTGAAACTAATGAAACTGGAAGTACTAACTATTTGTCCTTTTTTAAATAATAGAAGTTATAACAAATATTTTATATATTTGTGAAAATAAAGAAGAAAAACCAACAATATACTCATTTGATGAATTTTGGAAAGTTATAGAAAAAAATGATGCAAGGGTAAAATTTTTTTTGATGAATTATACTTTTCATCTAACCTATTATCAAAAAATAAAGATTTACAGACGCGGGGGAAAAAGCAGCTTCTATTTATATGCTAATTTCTCTGCAGAATTCGAAACAAGTTTGTTAATAATGCCAAGAGGGATTTAGCAATATATTTAGATTCGACTGGTTCTTCTAATACTTCAATAGATACTCTTGCAAATTTAAGTATAACCACTACATCCTATACAATCACACGATATAAGGCTTCTGCATCTGAAGAGCACACAAAGGTTATTGATTTTGAACTTGCCAAACATGCAAATGAAGTAATAGTATTGAATATTAATGACTATCACAGTATTCACACAAAACGGATGCCAAATACAACCACAATATCTACTGCCACATATTTAGCAACAATTCTAATAAATCCAATTACTACACAAAATGCAATTCTGAAGTTGAATATACATAATCTTAAATTAGTTGATACTGAATTAATCAAAGTAAATTTGGAGAATAAATTTATGGCGTTTTATGATCTTTCACATAATCAACGTTGGGGATTTCGTATGGTTGATGATAATATAAAATTGGAAGAGCTAACTATACATAGTTACGACATTAGAATAAAAGAAAAACATAATACCTGCTCTATGAAAGATTCTATTCTTGTGGATTTACAAGAAAATAATCTTAATTCTATAGATGCATATATTAAGGCCATTAATATTGTCACCAATATTCCATCTATGTAGCAATACATTCAAAAAGGACACATTATTTCCATGGTTGCTGATTGGCCCGGTCAAATTTATCTTAAAACAGCAATATTGTATTATTTATGTTATAGTGGCTCATCTAAGATTACTGATAATATTTTATTTTTTCTTCCAATTATAGGTCCCTTACATATTTCATTAAATTGCCGAGAACTAGTATTCCTTCAATATCAGCCATTTTTTTTTAGAAATGTATAAGTATATTTTTGGAGATCGAAAACCTCTTGCACAAAAGCCTAAGCTATGGCAGATCAATTTGCTTTTAGAAATCTCTTGTAATGCTTGGCAAGAAATTTCTACTACTGTTGAGATAAAATTTGGATTATGCAAAGATGCTGAATATCTTACACTTAAGGATCTTCTTGATAGTACAATCCCTCTTGTTCTGGATATTTATGTTGTGTTTTTCTGATCTGGTGATTTTGATGCTTATTTAGAGTCTGATTTTCGTGTTTGGATAATATTTCTCAAATTTTACCGTAGAAATTACACCAAGGCATCATTAATGTTTCTTTCTGATATTTTTTATTGGAAATTAAATAACCATCCAATTTTAGAGACCATTAAAGCTGAACTTCCGAAGTTTTCTGACTCAACTATAGAAATATTTCATAGTTTCTACAAAGAAGTACACAAAAACATACAGAAACTCAACAAATTATTAAATATGGTCATTATATTAACCAATTACGATTAGATGATAATGGGTTTAAAGAAAACTTTGCAAATACATCAACATGGGCAACATATGAATATTTTGCGCGAGATATTATGACTTAATAAAGATAAGTGCTTGTTTCCTTTTACAATGTTTTTCTGAAATTTATATATGTGTATTCCACTGCAAAAAATTCTTAACGTTTCCATTACAGGTTGTAAATTCATCTTCAAAAAGAAAGGGTAAAAATAAAGCTAATATTATCATTTCATTAGCTTCAATGAAAATGCCAGAAGTAGAATTGAAACATCTTTCTTTGGGCTTTAGTATCACATGTAAACCAGATCCGTTTCATTAATGTGATTCATCTAATTGTTCTAATATTTTACCTACAGATATCAAAACTCTATCTTGCGGTCATACATATCACAATTTCTGTTATAGCAACAATAGGTTTAAATGTTTGTTTTGCCTCTCGTTTATACAAGATGGTGTTGATGAATATGTTCAGTCTTTATTAGAACGTTTACAATGATTCGATAAAACACAAGTTAATGATACTCCTTGTAATGACAATGATGAAAATGAACTGGTGGGATGTATGAAATTTACATTAGAAGCAGTACTGCAAAAATTTCAATCACAATGAGATTTCTAATAATAAATAGGAGTTTGGTTATAATTAATTAGTAATACGACTTTATTTAAATTATATAAAAATTGTAAAAATTTCTAAGAATAAATAAAATTACTTAAATTATATTTTAAAATAATAAAAATATATAAAACTATTTTTATTTTAGTATTGAAACGAAGTTAGAATTTTCAAAATTATTATTGAATAGCGTAATTTAATTTTTTTCAGAGTCTATAAAACATTTTAATTTTGAGTTAACATGTAAAAACTTTTAATATATTTTAAACTCAATAATATATAATTTTAAATCTAATTTTTTAATATTTATAGTTTAAATTTAATATGTATAGTTTATACCTAATCATATTATTATTATATAATATCACGTGATATGTATAAAAAATTAAACTATCAACTACAAAATCTGTGTAACCTGATCAACCAATCACATAAAAGTCCTCCTATAATATCTACTTGTCTTTCTTTTATGATTAGCTTACTAACTTACTATACGTCTCTTTTTTTGTCCATTGAAAAAATTAATACGCCAATAAAAGTACCATACTTGAGTATATACTAATGACAAAATAGATAAGTGCTAATATTTATATAATAGATTATATACTTACCTACCTTATATTTGCCTATTGAGAACATACTTATTTTCATATTTTTACCAATTTGCTATACATTTCTTTTACATTTTTTTTGGTATACCTTTATATTATGCTAAAGCTAATATCATACCTGAGTATATATCTAGAAAAGTGAAGTCTTCTCCCATTTTTATATAATATAATTATGGCGAATACTTCATTTTTCAGATATAACTGGATGTTTTTTTTCAACGATTTGCTCATTAAGTTTAGATGAAGACTTCTGCCATTTTTATATAATATAATTCTGCAGAAGCCTTCATATTTTAGTTATATAACAGATGGTCTTCTTTCATGATTTATTGACTAAGATCGCTATACATCTCTTTTGTATCTATTAAAAAAATATTTTAAACATTTCTGAAATATATTGAGATAATATAACTTTTCTTACTGATATCATGCATACCTCAACTATTTTTGACCAAACTGATCACACTAGATCTGGCCCAATGCTTGCCCATTATGATAGCGCTAAGTCCGATGAATATTTAAGTGACTCTAGTAGTTGTACTGATAATGGATCTAACTTAGGGTCAAATAATTATAATAATTGCGAATCTAATTATGAGTCAGATAATGAAGAAGCTAACTGTGTCTCAACCAGCATTATCAAGACTCTATTTGTATAAGAGAAAGGAGACCCACCTATTAATGTGATATATACTTTAAGGTAGAAAAAGTTCAATGATAATTTTTCATTCAAGAATTTGATAAGTGAAATCCGAAAAATCACCTTATCACCACCTAGAGATATGTCAAATGACAAAAGCTCATTAGATTATCTTTTAATCTATTCATTTCTCTTTCTAAATAAAAAAGTGTCTAGTTTATATAATGCTTATGACTGGGATGAAGTGGATAATAAATTGGTTATCAAAATTGACCAAGATGGAAATTGTGCCCCAAAGTTTTCTGTTGCAGATGATATTTCAGAAGTATATGGCATACCTAGGATTCATGAATATATTAACAGCTAAAAACCTTTAAGAGCTGTGATTGATATAGATGCCTCACAAGAAGATATGGAAATATTTAGTGTTAAAATACAAGAAGTATTTATTCGAATCTGCTTTTCTTTCATAAGAGTTTTGTATTGAATTCTTGATTGTATCTGGAAGAAAATTCTCGAAGGATTAATAATTGCTACATCATTAAACTCTAACAAATGTAGCTACCATATTTTATATGCATCGGCTCTTCTTATTGATCATTGTGAACTCAAAGCATCCACAAAATTAGTATATACCATAACCAGTAAAAAATTTTGCAAGTTTATTGATCAAAAATTATCTGGTCAGAATTTTAACCTTCGCCTAATTGGTTTGGCAAAAAAAGGTTGCGTAAAACATATTCTTCAATTTTCTCTAGATAATGGATGAAACGAGCTTGATCATACTAGAGTTTAACCACCTACTAGTTTATGTCTTGAAGTAAGACCCCGATTACTTAGCGTAAAAAAATAATAATCCACTAAGAATAATTGTAAGTCAGGATATATTGCAAAAATATGCAAATCTTGTTTTGCAAAAGTATTCTAACTATATTAGAGATTAGACTATTGAAGAAAAGGACTCAGAAAACTTCATATATTTCAACTGGAAAGGTCTACTAGAATGTTTACTATGTAAACATATATATGACAAGGATCAGCAGTGGTTCAGTCGTATATATGTTAGTAGTGGAATATTCATTGTAAAATGCTTTCGGCAAAGTAGCAATAATCCTGAAGAAGTTTTTGAATACAACCCATCTATTGCAGAAAAAATTAGACAAGAAAATAAAAATTCTTCACAATCATCTCACAAGGTAAAAGCCTCTAATTTTCCTAAAACTTTCGTAAAATTCCTATTTTGGATCAAGTATAATGATTCCCTTATAGCGACAGAAATATATGAAGAGAGGTATGTAAGACAATTATCTAATGAAGGCAATATTTATATAAGTCACCTTGGGAAACAGGGAAAACCTATATTCTTGAAAATTTAGCTATTTCGAATGATGTAAATTTGCTAGTATTATTTATGCGTCACTCTTACTCAAATACTATTATTACTACAAGACTTAATCTTAAATCATATTGTGATATCGATGGTAATATAAATCTACCCAATCACAAGAGGGTAGTATGTCAAATAAAGAGTTTACATTAGATTGTTAATAAATGCAAATGTAATAAAAAATGCAAATGTCTTCTGAGTTAATATGATTTATGGCTTGATGAAATAGTGTTTATAATTGCTCAAGCATAAAGTCGCTTAGTGTGGCAATCAATAAAAAATTATATAAATTAATTCAAGATGCTAGGTGCATTATTGTGATCTAATGGACCTTAACATTGAATGGATTAAGACCTTTTGTAAGGATATACTTTTCTCTATTATTCATAATACTTATCAGCCTCAGAAAGGTAAGGTATTCTGTTTGGCTTCCAATAAAGAAGCTGTGTTAACTGAACTTGGAACTGGGCTAAGCATATGTCTTTATTGCCTTTTGAAAACTAAATAAGTGTGTCACTTATTTGCCATCTTAGAGAGAATGTGCAAGGAATTGTTCGTGCTCTTAAGACTAATTTTTCAAAATTACGGATCAAGGAATATCATGGTAAATCTGATCCTGAAGAAAGGCTCATGACTTCAGTAATGTAGAAGAATTGTGGAGTAACAAGTACTCTAAAAATAGGAGTATCTTGCACTAACCCAAAGTTTAAGCGAGCATTTTGTCTCTTTAATAGCTATATAGAAACAAATGCAGGAATAAATCAGATATTATTCTGCATATGATATATTAAGGATTATATATGTCATATTAAGCAGAGATCTTCTAACGTTCCTATTGTAGAAAAAGGGTTATTTCAGTAGTTGTCGAACATTAAACATGAATGCCTTTCCTGTGAACTTCAAAATAGAGGAATATTTTCAGATATAGACTCTATCATTCAAAATAAAAACGTATCAACTATTTGATTGTGAGTGGCTTATATGTTAGAAAATTTTCGATTTTATCATTTATTTGGTTAAAGAATGATTGATTTCCTTCGAAAAGCTGGCATGTGTATTTCAATTATAGAACTTATTCCTAAACCTGAAGATAATACGATATCATTATCTCAAACAGTGAAGGGGAGTTCTTCTATCATTAAAGCAGAGGAGGTATCAGCAATAACTAATGCTACTATTGTTAATTGTGAGACTACTGAATTTTTGAAAATAAGCTGAAAAAGACTTTAGAAGAGATACGCTCTTTAGACTGGCATCATATTGCAGATTATTATGAGATTTCGCCTAAATCATTGACTGAATAATTTATCTCGAAATATGGGAATTATATTTATATGAAATAGTTCAGAGCTTATAGGCAGTTACGAGATGCTGGTGCTGACAATGAAACAGCTGTTGAAGCTATCACTTGTAAAGATTACAGAGAAGATAGACTTACAACTGTCACCCGAGCTGAAAGACATTGAATTTGCCTAGAATTACTAAAAAATTATACATCAGCTAGAGACATCGATGATAGGGTAAGACATAAAACTGATGATATCAAAAGGTGTTTGAATACTTCTGAATCAATATCATTTCTTCAGGATTTGATTCCTAAAATAGCTCGAGTTTTTGATAATACAGATATATTATGTAGAACCAAAAAATCAGGATTAGAAACAGATCAGGAGAAACTTGGTTTACTGAATTCAGAATTACATACAGCTTATAGATTGAAGCTCAAAACAATAGATAAAAATCATAGACATTATCATCTAGTTAGGTCTTTTAATAGAAAAGATGCTTCTGAGTTACCCCTATACCAAATAGAAAAAGAAATTTATTGGGAAAATGGTGAAGATATTTGGTATAGGTATAGTAAACTTTCACCCAATAAATTATTAATGGAAAATCTTTTGGAGAAAAAACAAACAAAGATACTTCCAGTTCTAATATGAATACTATACCAATTGTGAAAGATATTCAAGACTTATTTGATATCGTGTAGGTGGATCTGTAGTAAAAGCAATATAAATACATACTTTGAGATAAAGGCTTCTGCCAATATTTATATAATAGATTCTGCAGAAGCCTTCATATTTTTTGCTTTCTCTACTCACTTCTTGGCAGATAATTCAGATGTCTTTACAGGTTGAAAGACCTCAGCCCTATACTTCTGCCTCATCTGATAATTTAATGAATGAAACCTAGCAAAGTGTTTGGGATAGCATTCTGTAGTAGTAGTAGTAAAAAAACCACAAACAAGGCATGGTCTTTTCCATATTTTTTTCATGTAATGCCTAGTGTCTTGCATAGCCAGTAGTTAAAGGTGAGCACATAATTAAGAAGTGGCAACTTGGTATGTTGCAATTTGAGTTGCAACTTGGTTGCAACTCCTTGTAAATTTATTTTAATATAAAAATTCATAAATAGTTGCAACTCAAAGTG